ACTCTGCTGTGAAGTCCCTCTAACAGAGCAGATCAATACAAGGAGCTGTTCCTTATCAGCAACATAAAAATGAACTTAAGCCACTCCAAAGAGCAGATCTCCGGCAGCGGCAGCCCGGGGATTGATGGCAGTGACACCAGAACATGCAGCACTTCAGCCATCTCTGGGATGTGCTGAGAGCAGTATGGCTTCAAGAATGGCAGCCCAGAAAAGGAGGAATAGTGTCACACTCCGTGAGCCAGGCTGGCCTGCAGTATCAGCCGAGACTTCTCGCAGGGCCCCTGGTGAAGAAAGAGGAACAGAGGTCCTGCGAGTTCACACATGGGGGCTCTGCAACTGGGGACCCTGGGGCCTGGATATCAAAGTGACACATGAACACCCACAGGCAGAGAAGGCACAGTCAGCTACCTCTGAAGGGACTTACTTTTATTTGTCCGTAAAACCCTTTATTTGTGGCACCTGGATACCTCAGCTGGTTGGGTGTCCCACTTTTGATTTCAGCTCAGGTCATGATCTTGCAGTCCTGAGATTGAGCCCTACGCTAGGCTCTGCACTCAGCACAGAGTCTGCTAGTCCCTCTCCCTCCTCCTCTGCCCTTCCACACACTCACACTTATTCTTCTCTCTCTCTGTCTCTCATAAATAAAATCTTAAAAAAAGAAAAACCTCTTTGTGCCAAGTAATTTCGGTCAAAACATAAAATTTTGCTTCAGTTATGTGCACAATGTCTTCAATTATCAATATAGAGGCTAAAGAAACATAATTTCCTTCTATTTCATAATTCCTACACGTTGGTAATAAGTGCAATCAATTTCCCAACAAGTAATTGTTCAAGCTAAGTGAGATAAACAAAGGAAGTGCAAAATTACTAGAAGATGTTTTCTCATAAATGAAATTATGCACCATGGCAATTCATCAACTGGTAAAGGTTTCCCATTTCAATCTATGTTTTTTTAAGTGACCTGAATTGTGCAATTGGATTGTGCTTTACATAAACACATCCCAGATCATAGTTCATTGCTCTGAAATATAGTTTACTATGTATATTGGTCTGGCTCTGAGCCATCCTGTCTGTGTTTATGTAAAGCCAAACCACATTATCCTGGATTGCTTGCACACCTTCAGAAAAATATCGAGGGCTTACTAGTGGCCCACATCAGCCTGTGAAACCAGTATACTTTTGTCTTTAGAAATTCCATCTTATGAACTATTTAAAATGCTGTTTTCCCTGGCCATAGAAAAACTTATATTAGGAAGGCATTGTGTAGCAAAACTACTTATTCAGGCCAAATGGGAAATGAGTATGTGCAGTGTGTTTCTGTTATCTACTAAGTGTTGTTACTGAGTAAAAGATTTAATGATATTTCTAAAAAAAAAAAAAAAAAGAAGAAGAAGAAATTCCGTCTTATGATCTACCCATTCAAAGCAAATAAACAACTGTGTATCGGTGGTCTGCATTGCAAGTCTCCTGTGCTAGAAACCATGCCATCTGCTGCACTCCATCTGGTCGCAGCCCCTTGTTGAGAGGTAGGCAGTGGTGCTCCTCACTGCACAGCACTGGGCAAGACACCAAACCCGGAGATTCCTCCCCAGACCTTGCTTTCCTGATCACTGACGGTTGGTCCAGGGCGGGCAGCCAACCTGAGTTGCAACAAGCAAGGAATCGTGCTGGAACCTTGGACCCGGGTCAGAGAGGGTCAAGTTGGTCTCTTGAGGATGAAAACCATAGGAAGTATTGACATAGAGAAGAAAGGAGCAGATGTGCAAAGAGAAGAGCCAAGGGGAGAAGGTGGACAAGGGAGAGTGAGGTCACTCAGGTCCCTCATCTTCCTGACACGCACTGCATCCATGACCCCAAATTCCATGAGGTATCACCAGGGACTTGTAAAAAATTTCCCCGGGCATCCCGGGTGGCTCAGCGGTTTAGCGCCACCTTCCTCCCTGGAGACCCAGGATCGAGTCCCACATCGGGCTCCCTGCAGGGATCCTGCTTCTCCCTCTGCCTGTGTCTCTACCTCTCTCTCTCTCTCTCTCTCTCTCTCTCTCTCTCTGTGTGTGTGTGTGTGTGTGTGTAAGTGTCTCTCATGAATATAAATAAAATCTTAAAAAAAAAAGAATTTCCCCCTTGGCTTAAGCTAGTTGAAGTTTACTTGAGCCAAAGTATTTCTAATTAGCAGAAGTCGGTGCTGGAAGCCAACATAAAATAAGATAATAATATCATTTAAAGAGTGCAGTTTTCCAGAAGAGGAAATGGAGACCAGGTAGTTAAGTCTTTGCATGAGATCATAGCCCAGGCAACCTGGACCCTAGACCAGAGGATTAACTTCTCTACTGTTCAACTTCTCCGAATGGACAGACACAAAGGGAAGGGCGTGATCTGGTGTGAGGCAGATAGGGATTGGTGTTCTCACCCTACCACTTGCTCGGGGCTAATTATTGACCCTCAATTTCTTAGTTTATGAAATGAAGAGAGCTAGAGTCATGAAAATAGAGCTGTTGCAAGAGTCAGGAAGATAATGTGAGTAACATGTGTTGGCCCAATAGACATTCATTGAAAGTTATTTCCAATCTGTTTCCAATTTTTCACTCATAGGTAATAGTAGTCACCGGAGCTGAGAGCGTATTGTAAAGGGTGCTGGTCAGCAGCCTCCTTCTGCATTTTTACTGTTAAATAGGGCGCTGAGATAGATGCTCCTCATTATGGGAAGGAAGCAGTCTTCTATTCCTGCTTTACTACAAAGATTTTTTCCTCGGAAATTGATGGCAGATATTATCAAGTAGCCAGCTTCTCTCAACAACAAAAGTCATATGATTTTTGTCTTTTGATTTCATAATTTATTTTAATGACAATACCTAATATTAAACTGTCCTCAGTTTCCTAAAATCAAATATCTTTAATCACTTCTCATTGTTCTGGGAATGAATTGGTAGGTTCTGGTGTTTTAATTATGGGGTTTTTTTTTAATGTATGAGTGAAATATCTTTAGTTTTCTTTCTTTTGCTCTTTGCTAGATTCCATTTTGTGATGATGGTAGCTCATAATGATGAATTACGGAGTTTTCTATCCTTTTCTGATTTCTGGAACTATATAAATAGCAAAGGGGTTTTCTATCCATGGAGGGTTTGAAAGAAACAAAGATGTTTTTAAACATGTGTATGTGTGTATCTAGTCTCACCATCAATTCTGTATGTAGTCCTTTTTCCTTAAAGTCTTCTAGTTCATTCGGTGGTTGTCTATTTAAGTTTTCTGCTTCTTCTTGAATAGAGTTGAATAATTTATATTTTGTTAGAAAATTTACGATTCATTGAAATATTTCATTTTTTTAACATTGAGCTGAAAATTGTGTTCTTGTATAATATTTTCATCTGCTCCCTATCTGTGGATACCTACTACCTGCTAAGATTACAATTTTTCTTTACTAGGCCCTCGGGGGCCAGCTCTAAGTGAGGAGGGTACTTGGCCAGGCACCTGTGTTGATGTTTGCTCTCTTTCTGCTTTGGGTGTCTTGATCATCTCCATCTGCATGGTTACAACCCCATCATCATGCTAGAAGGATCAGCTGTAATGCTTAGAGTCAGTTAGAGTGGGTAAGCCTCAACTGGGGTAGAAGTAAACTGTGTTTGTATACACAGGATTGTGGTCACCATGTGGGGGACTGGTCAGGTATTGAGCTGGTCAGGAGAGACCACTGAGGGATGAAGCACTAGTGGGGCACGCTGACCTCAAGGACTCTAAGACATCTGATTTCCTATGAGATCCCCCACGCATGGTGCCCCCATAGCACCTTCACTGAGATTTCCTTTGCCTCTAATCTCTTCAGTCAGTAATATTCGTACATTGATATTTGTATGTTATTTCCTGCAAATAGAATTGATCACTTGAAATATGTCAATTCGAAGAGTTATTTATAATTATGCTCATTCTATAGGTCAGATGATCTATTCATTTTAATAATTTTTAAAGTAGTTGAGTAAGAAATCTTCTGAGTCTGAAAAGAGTCTCACGAAAGGTAGTAGAGATGAATTAGTTGAAAATTCCAAGTGGGAGGATCTGATAAAAGTCACAACTAAGTCTACAGTTAGGTGAAAATCTAATTAGATGGAAAGAGTCCAGGGAGACCCCTGTATTGGAGGTAGGATCCAGAGATGGGCAAGGCCCACACAGTGAGGGAACCAGTATGCTAGACGAACCAGACAAAAATCTGGTTTAGGAGCAGGGCAACAATGGGATCAAGCCCCAGGGAGACTCAGCACTCAGTCAAGCAGGTTATTAGCACAAATTCCAGGATATTAAAAAAAATCCCAGGATTTGCCCCAAGAATTTAAATTATTAAAAGCCCTTACATCTGGAGGTAACCAGATCTACAGGACCCGTTCTTCCCAGCAGAGATCCGTTCTTTGTGTGTATGTGGTTGGCAATATTAAATAGCAATGTAGGCTCAGCTTATCCTTACCAAAATGTGATTCCCTGTAACTCTTCCTACCGGCTGTGAGCACAACTGCCATGTATGACCCCCACTCAAATCCTCTACCTCCCGGCATGTATTCGCCACACATTAGACCTTCAGGTGGTATCTCTGGAATGCTTGAATAGATAAGGACGTATGGTCCAGAAAACTTTCTATGTCCTTGGGTTCAGGTCCTCCCTGGGTTCAATGTGGACTGTTTATCTAGGGTTCCAGACTTCTTTATCAGTGTGTTTCTTCTCTCGGGTCCCCATGCTGTCAATTCTGAGAAGAGGATTCCAGCATAATGACTCTATTCTGGTACATGGGGGAGAGAGGAGAGTTGCTTTCACACATACCAAGTACCTAGGCATTGTTTATGGTAAAGAATGAGGAGAAGGAGAATGCGTACCTCCCTTGTGTCATCAGTTGGCAAATTCCTTGAGCCTCTTACAATGAGTACTATCAGGAAACACATTAAATACAAATACAAATCCTTTTTAACAATATAAATTTCCACCTGCCCTTAAATTTCTCTGCCTTGTCTGTGTTCCAGGTTCAGGTTTAGTGGTCGTATCCTAGGCCTGGCTTTGATCCATCAGTACCTTCTCGATGCCTTCTTCACGAGGCCCTTCTATAAGGCACTCCTGAGACTGTAAGTGTGTTATTGTGGGCCATGGTCTACCCAGTCCCGTCTGAGGACAGGAGATGCCAGCTTCCCTGGCACCTCTTACTCTGTCCCTGTTTTGCCCTAACCGTTCCTCTTTGTTTGCTTTTCTGAGTGCTTACATATCACATAAACCTTTTAGTACAATAAAAAGGCATTTGGAGATTTTATGTAAGCATAGGAGACTATTACAACATCATATAATGGATATGAATCCGTTTATACAAATAATTACAGTAAGATTACAAACTTTATATTACACTAAGTAGAATTCATCTAAAACGTAGTTTGTTTTAAAATGTTTTCTAAAACTTTTCTCCAATTGCCATCAAGAGTTCATGAGTCAATAATTATCCCATATTTATTATTGTCATTTCAAAAAAAAAAAAAGCATTGAATGAACTACAAAGATTCATCAATATATTCAAAAGTACCAAATAGTTAGAATCGGTCTATGTTGCTTTAGCCAGGTCTGGGCAGCTGTTTGTTTAACAATCTGTTTACCTTTCACCCTTGGAATGCATCCAGGCCCTGTGATTTGAGTGACCTGGAATATTTGGATGAGGAGTTCCACCAGAGTTTGCAATGGATGAAGGACAACAACATCACAGATATCCTAGACCTCACTTTCACTGTTAACGAAGAAGTTTTTGGACAGGTTTGTGGGATATGGGGCTTGGAAAAAAGCATTTGTTTTTTGCTGTGGAAAATTCACATAACACAGAATTTACCACCTTCACTGTTTTTAAGTCTACAGTTCAGTATTGTTCAGTATGTTCACACTGTTGTACAATCAACCTCCAGGACTTGTTCATTTTGCAAGACTGAAACTATATGCATTAAGCAATAATTCCACACTTTTCCTTCTCCCCAGTCCCTGATAACAGCCCTTCTACTCTCTTTCTGTGAATTTGGCTGCTCTGGATACCTCACATAAGTGGAGTCATACAGTATTTGTCTTTTTGTGACTGCCATCTTTCACTTAACACCTTGTCCTCAAGTTTATCCACATTATAGCATGTGTCAGGATTTCCTCACTTTTTAGGGCTGAATTCCATATAGTGAAATTATGCTATATATATATAGCATATATATATGCTATGATAGCATATATATATGCAAAGAGGAACGGTTAGGGCAAATTATATATATATAGCATATTTTATTAATTCATCCACCTGTTGATGAACTCTTTGGTTGCTTCCACATTTGACTATTGCAAATAAGGCTGCTGTGTAGATTTATCTGTTCAAGTCCTCACTTTCAATTCTTTCGGCTGTATACCCGTAAGTGGAATTGCTGGATCGTAAAGTAATGGGATTTTGTTTTTAATCTAGAACACAAAGAGTCTCATTCATTTGAAAGACAATTTTCTGAGGACTACTTCCTTTAAGAAAGCTGCCCATGTCTTCTTCCTTCTCCTTTTCACAACATGGATCTATTTTATAGTCTTTGAAAACCAAGGTGATAATGGATTAGAAAACATTTTTGTGAAGTGTGAAATACATTTGGAAGGTAGTTCTGTGATCTGTGCAGCTACAAAAAATACTTATTTTAATCACTAGCATCTAGATATTTGCTCCTCCAAAATGCATGTATATTAATATTATTTAATAAGATAAAGCCTCTTATTTTTTCCCCACCAGTATTTATATATCTTTGAATCTTCTGGGTTACAGTTTTATCAGGCTAACCATAGCCTGAATCATTTACAAGAGATTTCAAAAGCCTCTACAAGTGATAATCTGTAATGTGTCATTGTGAGAATTGAGCTGATAGGCTTTATAAGTACCTATAAGCATAAGCACAAATGTGAATGGCATGCTGAGTCTGTGTATGACAGGTACACACTGAACTTTGCAGCACCTATACCATAGTCAGGAATTTTGGACAGGTCCTGGAAAATATCAGGATTCTGTTGAATTTCCTTTGTGTAAACATATCTGTAAAGAATACCCTCTTCCATATTTGAGGAAAAAATTTTCCTTCTTACAACTATAGAGAACACATTTAAATATGCCCAAACATACATGATTCGTTGGGCACAAGACTGGCTCACTCAGTGGAGTGTGTGATTCTTGACCTTGGAGTTGTAAGTTCGAGCCCCATGCTAAGTGTAGAGATTACTTAAAAATAAAATCTTAAAAAAAATACAATTCACTTAACTGTCCTGCATGTATTAGATAAAAGTATGAAATACACTATTCGCTATGTGTGACTTCTTTTTGCCATTCTTTACATTTGCCCCACAGCAGAGGGTAAATTTGTAAAATAAATACAATCATTTAGCAGGTGTTATTTTTTTAAAGATTTATTTATTTATTTATTCATGATAGACATAAAGAGAGAGAGAGGCAGAGACACAGGCAGAGGGAGAAGCAGGCTTCATGCTGGGAGCCCAACATGGGACCTGATCCCAGGACTCCAGGATCACGCCCTGGGTCAAAGGCAGGCACTAAACTGCTGAGCCACCCAGGGATCCCCTAGCAGGTGTTATTAAGACAACTGGTAGCCATCTTAAAAACTTTTAAGTTAGATTCCTAACCTAACTCGTTACATCACAATAAATTCTACCTGGATTAGAAAGCCATTAAAAATAAATAAATAGGCACCTGGGGGGCTCAGTGGTTGAGCTCTGCCTTTGGCTAAGATAGTGATCCCAGGGTCCTGGGATTGAGTCCTGCATCAGGCTCCCTGCAGGGAGCCTACTTCTCCCTCTGCCTGTGTCTCTGCCTCTCTCTGTGTGTGTCTCTCGTGAATAAATAAATACAGTCTTTAAAAAAATAAAAAATAAAATCTTTAAAAATAAATAAAATTTTAAAAATAAAAATAAAAAAGAAGAAAATGATAGAATTTTTATTTTTAATCTTCCAGTAAGGAATGCTACTGTATATGTGACACAACTTTCAAAGTCATAAAAGAAGAGATTGACATAGTGAACTAAAATTATTATTTAATTCTGTGTGGCAAAAATACAGCATAAACAAAGTAAAAATGGCATAATATTGAATATACTATAGTACACACACAAAAGGCGATTCTTTCAATATAGGAAGAGATCTCACAGGTCAATAAGAAATGATCAACAACAAATAGAAAACTAGCAAAACATAAATAGTTCCCAGAAAAGGAAATATGAGGAAATAATTTCATTCACAAATTGTAAAAATGTAAATTAAAGCATAGTGAAATGCCATTTTCCCTTATGTGTCATGAATCAGAAAGGTTAGCAGTATTCCATATTGGAGATGATGTAGAGAAAAGGCATGCGGTACAGGAGTATAGGTGGGAGTAAGTGGAAGTTTGTCTCACTGTCTATGAAAGGCACCTTTGTGGTAGCTACCTTCATTCATAATGCACCTGCCTTCCTGGTATTGTATATAAGTGATGAATCACTGAACTCTCCACCTGAATAGTGTTACACTGTATGTTAACTAACTAGAATTTAAATAAAAACCTAAAAAATAAAAATAAAAAATAAATGCACCTGCCCTTGAGTCAGCACCCAGGAATTTGTCCTACTGATATTTATTCACACCTAATTCAAGTGAGTAGTGTATTAAGATCTTCACTGCAGCGTTGTTGACAGTTGCAAAAGACCTGAAATGATCTAAATGTCCAGCAATAGAGCATTGGTTAAATACATTATGATACATTCACACAATGGAATAGTGAACCAGTGGGATGTATGACTAAAAAGTGCAAGACATGCCAGCCCATCAACGTACAACAGTAAGCAGGGTATTGCAACAGCAACAACAAAAACAGAATAAGTCAGGTCTGGACTGGTATAAAACAATTGTCAAGGTACATTGTTAAGTGAAAAAAGTGTGGTGATGAACAGTGTATATAATATGCTATCGTTTATGGGGAAAAAGTGATGATATATACATATTCCCTGGTATGTATGTCTATTCTCCTTGGAAGAGACGTGAGGGCAATTTTCTCCAGGTAGGGAGATTATATGGGTGGGAGGTGAGAGGGGAGAGAAGCTTGCTTTTCATTTATGGCCCTTTATACAATTTGAATGTTATTTCATGAACACATATTACCTGCTCAAAAAAATGAAGTAAACTACGAATAACTGAACCCATAAAATAAGAGGGGGAGAAAATAACAGGGAAAGTACAAAAGATCAATCCTTCGTGTGTGTGGCATAGAACAACTCAGAGAGAAGTTTAAAATGTTCCCAATGATAAAAATAAGGCTGCGTTATAGATCTAGAATAACGTATATCTGTGTAAAGCTTAAACAGATCTCATTCCTCTTGAAATGAGGTCACTAATGGTTTTAGAAAACTGAGTTGTAGCCCTTCTTTTGGCAAGTTAGGACATTCTGAGGAGCAGGCAGGTAGATGCAGATGAAAGACATCATAGGCTTTTCCTGAGTGTGTGTGTGTGTTAAGATTAGGGTGAGCTGCCTGTGAAGAACCCCAAAATGCCCTACTGAAATTAAGTTTATTTTTTAAGTTTATTTTTTTCTCACATTAAAATGTAGACAACCCACGGCTGCAATGCCTACCTTAGGCCCAGAAGCAAATAGTGCCCCAACCATCCTGCTCATGCCTGAAGCAGCAGGGCAAAGGAGCAACAGCCCCTCCCTTTAAGGAGGTTCCTGAAAGTGCCATACAACACTCCTGCTTACACCTTACTGGCCAGAATTTAGTTAATGGCACACTTAGCTACAAGCAAGGTCAGGAATTCGTCTCTAACTGGGCAGCTGAAAATCAGAGGTTCCAAGGAATGTGGATATTGAGTGGCAATTAGGATGTTAGAACCAGCCAGTATTTTATAATTAGCACTAGTCACCTAAGTGATAAAAGAAAAAATAACATCAGACTTCTGCAGACTGTTTAGGTACCTGTGTCAACGAAAGCCAACTACACATATCTACGTTTCTTAAACCAATGGCTAAACACAGCAATGCCTCCCTTCTTACAGCTTTGAGTGGTGAGGTGAACCCCTTCAGTGAATTTGAGATGACAGACAATCCCTTCCAATGCCCAACACTTCTGATAAAAATCTCCAACATGTCATCCCCCGCCTCACCTTTCAAAAGATAGAACACAGATCATAACTTCTCTTAATGATTCATTTGTCCTAACAAACAAGCACCACCATACTAAGTGGCAGGGTCCTTCTCCGTTTCCTTTCTCAACATCAGTCTGCCATTCTCCAGCCAATATTATACCCAGCTGTAAAAGCCATCTTCCCACCCTCTGCCATTTTCCTGTCAATGATCTGCTCTGGGTGGGGAGGCTGGTGGCTTTTGATAATGTGATCTAATTGGGATTTGGAGGAATTGAGTATCAGGACCTTCTGATCCATCTTTTCCCCCAGGACAACCAGGGGCATTTTTCTTTTAGTCCCATTATGCCTCTTGAGTCAAGGAAATATGTTTCCCTTTATAACACATCAAAAACTGCAGCTTAAAAAAAAAAAAACTGCAGCTTTTCTGAGGTGCATAACTGTCCTCTGAGAACAACCAGAGCTTTTGTAGTAACTTCCAGGAAAGGAAAAAGAATTAAGGAGGTGAGAAGGCCGAACCCATGTGAAGAAGACTTTCTGTAAATAGTTCACCCTCCTAGAATTGATATGTGTCACTGCAAGGTCAACTGAGCCGACAGGCATCACAGTCTTTGTGTGTCCCCACAAGGTAACCGAAAGGGAGTTGAAATCTGGAGGAGCCAACACCCAGGTGACGGAAAAGAACAAGAAGGAATACATCGAGAGGATGGTCAAGTGGCGGGTGGAGCGCGGTGTGGTACAGCAGACGGAGGCACTGGTGCGGGGCTTCTACGAGGTGAGACCCAGGCCCAGCTGAGGAAGGTAGGCCAGGGCCAGGGCCCTCACCACCCCACGGCCCGTTGGGGGAAAAGAAGAACCAAGGTGGGCAGAGGGCTCAGCTCCAGTCACCAGGGTGCAGAGAGGACCCCCTTGGGGTAGACAAAGGAAGAGTCTGAGATCTCTGAGAAACCTTCCTCTTGTGGCAGGTGAAAAATGCTCTCACAGAAATGTTGTGACACATATGCAAACATTCAGTGTCTCTTGTCAGGACATGTGCATGCTGTTTCCTTTCAACTCAGTGAAATTAAATTAAGTGCAGTGAAGGCATTGGAGCACATTGTCCACTCTTGCTAGATTTCTCTTTCGTTACAGTGTCACTTTGTGCCATATGATCCCCACTAAGGTAGTAAATCAAGAGGACGGGGACGGCTGCCAGCTTCCTGGGCACCGAAGGCTGGTGTCCTTTAGCCTTTTGCAATTTAGAAACAAGACACTATCAGTGTTTTCTCAGAGGTTGGGTCTTGAAGGTTTTCTTCCTCTGCCCGTAGTGGAGGTCAACACTGCCCACTGGCTTGTCCATCACAGTTTGTTGAGAGGAGGTGCTCAGTTGTCCCCAATCCATGTGGCAACAGGGCTGAAGTCAGAGCTCAGCGACCTAGCAAAGGAGGTCTTCCCAGATCTCTGAAGGGGGGATGAAGGGCCGGAGTGGAGAAAGGAAGGGAAATATGGTTTTTTTTTTTTTTAAGTAGGATGCCCATTTCTAGGAAATAAGTCATAGTTTAGTCACAGGATACCTTTCAAGGGAAATGATAACAGTAAAAGCACTCAAGTCACTTCAAAGTGTTTGGACCTCCTGCCTTTAAAATGCAGTGATACTTGGAAACTTAAATGTGACTAGAGAACGTCAGGTCGCATTGGCTCATAACATCATTCTGACAGGGAGTATCTCAGGTAGCGAAAACCCTGGGACCCTTCTCGAGCTCCCAGCTCATCAGTGGGTTGTGTTTCAGGACATAGAGGCCACAATTTTGAACCTAGACAGGATAGTACATTCATTAAAAACAAAACAAAACAAAAAAAAAACAAAGAGTTGTAACGATGGTCAGTGTCCCAGCGTAATCCACAGAAGGACTGGTCATGTCTACACCTTCAGGGTGTTGGACCTGAAGCCTCATCTGTGTTCCAGGTCGTAGACTCAAGGCTCGTGTCCGTGTTCGACGCCAGGGAGCTGGAGCTGGTAATCGCTGGGACCGCGGAAATCGACCTGAACGACTGGAGGAACAATACGGAGTACCGGGGCGGTGAGCGGGGTGCAGGCCACGACCCTGTTGTCTGACTGGTGGCCTCCCAGGCGACCTTAGCCAGTCTCACGGTAGCCGGTTGGCAGTGAACAGAGCAGAGGTGTTTGCTACAGTCCCGGGGCCCTGCGACCCCACCTCTAGCTGGGTCCAAAACACTGTCCTCACCCCCAAGGGAAACGCCCTGCCATTGAATACTTGCCTCCCCCCTCCCTCCCCAGCCTGGCAGCCCTCAATCTGCATCCTATCCCTATGGATTTACCCATTCTGAGTGCTTCGTGTAAAAACAACCATATAACATGTGGCCTTGGGCCTGGTTCCCTTCATTTAGCCTGCTGTTTCAAGGTTTGTCCACACTATAGTGTTTCATCACTCCATTTCTTTTTGAGGTCGAATAATATTCCATTGTCTATAAATATATTTCAATATAAATATAAAATATATAAATAAAATAATATATAATATATATTTATACATGACTTATATAAATATATTTTTATATATTTTATATATTTTAATGTAAATATAAAATATATAAATAAAATAATATATTATAAATATTTATATGATTATATGAATTATATATAAATAATATAATATAGTAATTATATATTTATGAATTATATATAATTATAATTATATAATAATATAATATAAATACAAATAATATATTATATGACATTAATATAATATAAATATATATTTATTTATGTCATTATATATACATAATATAAATATAATATAAATATATATTCATTTATATCATTATATATACATAATATAAATATAATATAAATATATATTCATTTATATCATTATATATACATAATATAAATATAATATAAATATATATATTTATTCATATCATATATAAATAATATAAATATATATTCATTTATATCATTATATATAAATAATATAAATATAAATATGCATATTCATTTATATCATTATATATAAATAATATAAATATAATATAAGTATATATTTATTTATATCATATATACCTAATATAAATATAATATATTATAATACAAATACATATTTATTTATATAATAAAATAGTATAAATAAAATAATATTCCATTTTATATCTATATATAACATATATTCCATCACTTTTCAAAGACTACAAAAAACTGGGCCTTAGGGCAGCCCAGGTGGCTCAGCAGTTTAGTGCCGCCTTCAGCCCAGGGTGTGATCCTGGAGTCCAGTCCTATGTCAGGCTCCCCATAGGGAGCCTGCGTCTCCCTCTGCCTGTGTCTCTGCCTCTCTCTCTCTCTGTCTCTCATGAATAAATAAATAAAATCTTAAAAAAAACACAAAACTGGGCCTTATCTCAATACATGTGCAAAGTAGGTTCTCATAACATGCCTTCCTGTAACCTGCATCCTGAACATTCCTTCAGGTGATCCCCATTGGGATAGGCTCTGGCCTAACTCCATGTAGACGCATTACCAAGAGCCACCACCCAGAGGCCAGATCCTGGGCTAGGATACATGCCACCAGGGAAGTGCGTCCCACTTCCTGTAGGATTGGAGCCCCGTTCCCTTCAATCTTGGTTTGCCCCAACACGGTTCTGTTATTTCCCCAAATCCTATTTCTAAGTCCTCCCACCTATTCACCATCACCCTGAACTAGTCTCCTGTCTTCCTGAAACATTATTTTCACCAGGCCACTTCCTTATCCACAAAATGGATAATTTTTTTTTTAAGTCTCAAAACCATTTCCTTGTGTAAAATATTATAGAGAAACCAATCCAAACCACAGAGAGAGAGCTAGGCCCCCCACCCCAGCCTCCCTCTTCTCCCCAGTGTACTGGGCCTGAGGAGCCTCTGTGGGATCACAGGGCACTTCCTGGCATGGCATGGAAACCACCAGCCCCAGTGGCGACTCCCAGGGTCTCCGCCTGGCTGCTACCGCCCTCTGAGGCTCCCGGCAAGTCTCCCCTCGGCCCTCACCAGACCCCCCTCTGCGCTGGTGGGCTTGCTGTTCCCTGCAGATTTCTTCCTTGTTCTTGTCGTTCTCTAGCTCTCCTGTCTTCCACTCACCCAGAGCCTTCCCATCCTCCACACACACCTCACTTCCCTCTTTCTACCCCAGCCCACACAGATTTCTCCCAGGTCAGATGCCTCTTGCATTCGCAGCAGTGATGACTCTTTGACCGGAGCCGGTTGCCCAGGCTGGCTCTCCTAACTCTACTGGTGGCAGTGGCCTGACCGGCCCAGCAGGCCTGAAGGCAGCCGCTCCAAGAGCACTGATGGCTGCTGGAGATTCAGGCGTCTTCTGTTCAGCAAACTTGCCCTTTCCCTCCAGACTCTCCCCCAGTACGTGGTTACCAAGAACTAAGCTATCAGGACAGAGAAAAATACAGTGAAGTATTAGGTTGATGCGGGTTTTGTCTCTTAGGGTCCCAAGGGTCCCTAGCCACTCCTTGTCTCATTTAGATGAGGCAGGAAAATGGCTGGTGGGGTCCCATGAAAGCAGATATCTCTGAGGACACCCCTCAGAGAGTCCAACTTTTTATAAAATGGCTATTTTCTAAATCTGCTTTTGTTGTGACACTTGACCCGATGGCGTAGAAGGTCATAGACTGGTGAAGGCCATCGTTAGAGAACCCGGCAGACCGGTGGCAGCTGTTGGGGTCTCCCTGGCCCTGCCACACCCGTTGCTCTCTCCCTTCCTCCTCCTCCCTGCACATCCTCACTGGCTCCCTCCTTCTGCCCCACTCAGGGTATCACGATGGGCATCTTGTGATCCGCTGGTTCTGGGCCGCCGTGGAGCGCTTCAATAATGAGCAGAGGCTGAGATTACTTCAGTTCGTCACGGGAACATCAAGTGTGCCCTACGAGGGCTTCGCTGCCCTCCGAGGAAGCAATGGGCTTCGGCGTTTCTGCATAGAGAAGTGGGGGAAAATTACGTCTCTCCCCAGGTAGGGGCTCCTGCCGGCCTCCGGGAAACCCACCAAAGAGGGCCAGTAGACCTCGGTATTGGAGTTTGGGTGATGATCCTCTGGGAGGAAATTCTTTCCTGCCACCCAAAGTACTGTTATACGAGTTCTTGGTGAAAGATGCCAGGGAAGAGTCTCTGGGAGGTGAATTTAGACCATATTCTTAGTGGGTTTTGATGACTCATGGTATTTAGGTTACAGTGTCATGGTCCCCGTGTCAGGTGTGGGAAGCTTTCCTATCTGTTCGTAGCCCAATTTAACTTTAGGAGGACTGGCTCACCTGGTGAGGGTGGCAGGGGAGGCTGGGGGCCCAAAGTAACCCTTCTAGCACTGCATCTGTACTCCTCCAGCGCATCACACAGTACTCTGTAGGTTGACTATGCATGTACATGTCACATTTTTCCTACGATGTTTTAAAACATGTCAGGATAAGAGCATGTATTTCTTGAGTCTCTACAGTGACTTCTGTATAGTAAGCTGTCAAGGAGATTGTTGTGAGATAAATGCAGAAAAGGAGACACCAGGGATCCAGGCAGTTTAACAGAACAAGGTTCCTATGCCATGAGTTCTAACACCTCCTGGGTCCTTCCTAGCCCACTTTGAGCAGCCTTTTCCTGCTCAGTGAAAGAAAGAGCACTAAAGAGACTCCTGTATAGGTACCACAGTAAGAACTGTTGCTCATCAAGAGAAGTTTGATCCATATTATTTTCTTCTACTATGATATTTTCTAATTGTAAAAGAAGCTTCACGTTTAATTCTGCTGTTTCCCTGTGGCCTCCCAGATGCTATGGCTAAATCCCAATGGAAGGATTTACTGAACTATGACTTGCATCCAGATCTCCCAGACCTTCTAATGTCCCGAAGACCCCCCACCTGATGTCAGTGGGCATCAGGTGGCCCAGGAAACAGAGCGCGTGCCCAACTGGTCAATAAGAGCCTTGGCACAATTTTCAGCACTGGCTTCACACACTTGTTCAGCAGACCCTGGTGCTCATTTGTGTGGGTCTGCTGTTGGCTGAGCCTACTGAATTAAATCTGGCAAGAAAATAAGGCTTAAAAGGCAAGATTTCCATTTGTCTAGTTTAATGATAGATTTGGAAGATGAGATTATTTGGAAACATTCTTTTTTTTATTTTATTTTAGAGAAATGAGTTTGAGCCACCACTTGATCATAGCACCCACACACACCCCAGCATAAGGTGTACCCTGAAGAGTGGCAAAGATACAACCATCCACCTTCCAGAGGAGATTATAGTCTTAGGGAGGAACACAGCCCAATAGGAATAAATTTTGTACAACACAAGGTGGAATCAGAGGAGCACTGAGAAAGGGAGGTAAGAGGAAGGTGCTATGAAGATAATAGAATACAGACCCGCTCCCGATTGAACTGGCAGGAGGAAATGCCGCAAAGATGATGACACTTAGGTGAGCATCGAGGGGCAAGGAATGGTAGAGGGCAATTCCAGGCTGAAACAGAAACATGAGCAAGGCCTAGAGGTGGGAGATGGCCAGCAAGTGTTCAGGAAGGAGAGCCCAACCAGTGTGGAGGACAAGACACCGAAAGTGATACAAGGGATGAGATTGAGAAAGATAGGTGGGTCTTGATGGGTCACAGAGAGAAGACTGCTGAGGAGTCTCTGTTTTATTCTTTAGGAAATGGAAATAGGAATTGCTTTTGTCATTTGGGGGTCACAGATTGAGTCTAGTTACATATTTGCTTTTGAGAAGCTTTGAAATATACATTAATATTAAACCACACTAAGAGCTTATAAGATGGACATTGGGCTTATAATCAGGCTCTTCACATCTGGGCCAAGGCATCCCTAAAAATCTGCTGTTCTGCAAACCCCAGAGAGCATCCTGGGGAGGCAAGGACTTTACCCTGGGCTGAGAGTGTCCCAAGAAGCACGTTCTGAGATACCTCTGGGAGGAGAGTGAAAATGACCCCCTGGATAGTAAGCCCCTACTAGTCTTCCTTATACATTTTCTGAAGATCCAAGAAGCTAGAAAGTGTCACCAATATGTGAGGAGAAAGTAGTAACTTCAGACTTCCAAGAATAGCAGTTTGGATAGACCTAGCCGGACCACATGGCAGATGGCAGGAAGCCCTGAGGCAGCATCTGCAATGAGTTGCAGCCGGGAAGGGCCCAGAGGCTGGCAGTGGCGCCAAACAGATACCAAATGACCCAGGACTTCTCAGAGAATGTGAGCCCAACTTACACTGCCCACACTGGAAGGAGAGGTGGTCTGAGCTGCTTTGTTCTCAGATCTTCCCCCTGCAGAAAGGCAACTGGCTTCCCAGATGAGAGAACCAAATAGTGTCACAAGCAAACCTAAACCATAGGCCAGGCCAGATAAAACCTTTACATCAGTTCATGTCCTTGCCTCCTAAAAACTGTGGGAGGGTTAGGAAAGAGGGTTATGAGAGTAGTGGTTTCCAGAATGTAATTTTACAGTGTCTTGTGAAGAAAGTTCAGTAAAAGATGGGTGGGACAGTCCCTGAGGTTGAGGTCGAGGAGCTGGCTGATTAGGGCATTGAACATGCCATCCATGTAGACTTAGATGCCACACATCTGGTGGGAACACCTGAAATGGGGAGGATTTAAGCAAAGTACCAGAGATTTTAATAAATGTAATGAGCTGGAAGATCCAAGGGTATGGAAGATGCATCTAGATCACTGATTTTCAGTGATTTTCAAACTTTTCGGCCATAGGCCACAAAGAAATACCTTTTACGTAACACCACAACCCAGTACGTGCCTAATCTACTTGTGTGTACGTGTGTGTCTGAAATACAGGTTCCTGAAAACAACATTTTACCCTTCTTGGCTGCAGATATCATGCTCTATCTTCTAATCTATCCTATTTGATTGAAATAAAATTCCAGATAAAACCTGGAGTTATGGGGGGAAATATCTAAATGGCATGAGATTCAAAGGAACAGAATTTTTTAAACATCTGATTCCCTCTTAGTTTTTATTTATTCATTCATTTTTATTGAAGTATAGTTGACACACGACGTTACGTTAGTTTCAGGTGTACAGCATAGCGGTTCCACAAGTCTATAAGTTATGCTGTGGTCACCATGATGGTGGCTACCATCTGTCACCCTACAACACTATTATGATGCCATTGGCTATATTCCCTAGACTGTGCCTTTTATTATTGTGATGTATTTATCCCATAACTGGAAGTCTTTACCTCCTACTCCCCTTTATCCATCTTGCTCATCCTCCCACCCCCTCTTCTCTGGCCACAACCAGACTGTTTTCTGTATTTATGAGTCTGTTTTTCCTATTCGTTTGTTTGCTTTGTTTGTTTGTTTTTGTTTTTGTTTTTTTTAGACTGCACATATAAGTGAAATCATTTGGTATTTTTCATTCTTTATCTGACATTTCACCTAGCATAATACCCTCGAGGTCCATCCATGTTGTCACAAATGGCAAGATCTCATCCTTTTTTATGGCTGAGTAAAAGGAACAGAAATTTTTGATCAAAGATTGAAAAATAATGATCTAGAATTGGCAGTGGGGACCGAGCAGAGTGCTAAGTGCCATCTACATCACAGAGTGTGGCAGGCTGATCATTGGCCATCTCCACTCATGGGGACTGAGAACGGGTGCTAAGACTTGTCGGCCATGTCCAGAAGGGAAAAGTGAGAAAGTTTTCTTGCCATGGAACAAGGACTGGGGAGGGTACAGAGGAGAGGCTCCACAGGAAAGAAAAGCGTGGAAGCTAGTCAGAGTAGACATAGCACAAGATAGCATGGAGATGGAATAAAAAAGAGATAAATTTAGGGGTTTACATTTTGAGCAGGGACCAGGGATTACAGAACTAGGAGTAATGGGCAGTTGCATAAAAGTTGCAAGCAGAATTCTGACAACAAACTTCACTGCAGATGTAAACTGAGCCCAAGCCCAGGTAGATGGGGGTCGGGGGGGTTGGTTAAGGTTGGGCAATTGGCTTACTCTATAGCGATGGCTCTCAAAGGGGATGGGAGAGGTGATTTTGCCTCCCTCCCGGACATTCAGCAATGTCTGGGACACTTCTGGTTGTGGTGGAAAGGTGCTAGTGGCATCCAGCAGGTAAAGACCAAAGATGCTGCTAAACACCCACATTGCACAAGACAGAGAATTAGTAAGTTTAAAATATCAGTAGTACCACGGTGAGAAACCCTGCTCTATGGACCATAGGCTACCATGGAGGCTTCATGGAGCCATTGGGAGTTCAGAAGAGAAACTGACAGCCACCGAGAAGCCATAGAGAAGCCAAGGGGAGAGAGATTCAAGAAGAAAAGATGTCAAAGGCTTTTAAAGAGCTTGTGGAAGTCGAGATAGAGAATGAGCCTCTGGATTTGGGGATCAAGAGGCTCTTGAAAAGGTTTAAAAAGAGTAGGTTCAGTAGTGATGAGAGTGAGAACCATCTGTAGAGTGAGGCTGTGGTTGGGCAGTGGAAGGAGATGGCATGAAGGGGAGACAGGACCTCCAAAGCGGCCTGACAGCTAGCTGAATAACCAGCAGCAGAGAGCAGCAATTTGTTTGCTTTTAGTAGTGTTGTTTGCTTTTGACCAGCCTTAAAGTGGTCTCTTCTGGGGAGAAGCATACTGTCTTTGGCATTGGTTACCATTTTAATCGATAACTTGGAAAAAAATCAAGGAGACACGAAAACCAATCATGAAGATGATACAAATTAGAAGGGCAAATAATACAGTGACTGACACAATCTAAATCCTGACTTATCTCAAAATGCTGGAACCCTAGATGGACACCAACAGAGTGAAAATTGACCTGGCGTGATTGCAAAGATCCATGTGGGGTTCCAAAATATCAGTTGCACAAACAGGAGATGAGGGCGATTCATCTGCCAGTAGCTCATGTGAAAAAGGCTGAGGGTCTTGAGTCCCCACAGGTGTGACACAGTTCCTGAAATCATAACTGCAATTGTGGTTGCATTATTAAGAGAAACTCATGGTTAAATGATGATTCACAGATTACAAAAGGCATTTATGTGCATTCTAACATTGGTCCTCGCGACAACCCCTCCAGGTATACAGAGCATATATTATTAGTCACATTTTACAAGTGAGAAAACTGAGTCCAGAAAGATTAATTGACTTTCCCAAGGTGATAAAGCTAATAAGTGGTTTAGACTGCAATCGGAATAGAGGTCTTCCAACCCCCGGTTTTGTACTTTTTCCACCAACCCCCCACACCCCAGAGGACTGGGCACAGTGCCCAGGGAGGAAAGTGAGCAGATGCTCTGGGCTGTCAGAACCACACCTGGAGGACTGCAAGCATTTAAGAATGTTGAATTGAATCATGATTTGATTGTGTTTGTTCATTCTAGTTTATAAACTAGAATCTATTTTAGAGAGTTAACCAAGGCTGGTGATAAATACGGTAAAAGCAATTTGAAGAAACTCGAGATGTTCAAGCAAGGTCTTGAAAAGGTGCCATTTGCTAATGCTTTCAGATTATTCCCAGAAATTACCTTTTACAGCATTAATTTGGTTTGCAAATATGGGATTTTTTGCTGTAACTTTTCCACACGTGAGTGCCACTTTAAAGAACCAAGACAATGACGGCTGCTCATATCTCACGCTTAACTAGCTCAGCTAGGTTCAAAAGCATAGGGATTGTTCTGTGCCACTTAATGTGGTTACCCAGAGCCCAAAGTATGTCCTAGTTTTAATCTTTCTAAACATAGAGAAGCCACTATAATTGTCATCCTACTCATTTTAATGAATGCTTTTCCACTTTTACTCCAATGAGTTCAGGTAAAATATGTTAATTATTCTCTTGTGAAGTCACCGTAGACCTGATGGAATGAATCTTAGATCATAATCTGAGACCTCCTCTAATCTTGGTCTGTTTTTATGTTTCTTCCCAGTTAAGTCCTTGAAGCCTAAGGCCAGATGCACTGCTATCCTGTGCCGACTGTTGGAGCTGGTGGGGGGAGGGATTTGGGGGGTCATTTCCCAGGGAGCTATGAGCAGAAGGAGGAATGGCTGTTGAGAGGCAAACACAACAGCATCCTCCCCTGGTTCTTCCTGTACAAGAAAACCTACCTTCCCTCCCTGCTCTTCCCACCCCTACCCCCACCTCTCCCTACCCCTCCCCCACGCACACACCCAGATAAGCTCCCTTGTACCCTGACCACTGCATCAGCCTGATCAGAAACTCTGAAAACAAAGGTATAAATAATACACAACTTCCCTGGGGATCTTATAATTAGAAGAATTCAATCTCCCAAATGAAATTCAAATGAGGGGAGAATGGTCTCTTTGGTTAGAGTTTTGTTTAGTTTTGTTTGTATATATATTTGTTTTGTGATATTTTATCTTCTCTTTTATTTTTTATTACTTTATTTCATCTCATTTTAATGTACCCTTTTTTGGTGCTAGTTGGCTTCTCAAAACACCTTTGCAACACCCCACCCCTTCTAGGGAGCAAAAGGCATGAAGTTAACCTTGAGCTGCACCCCCCACCCCCACCTTCCTCCCTAATTTGGTACAGGCCTTGGCCTCAACCAAAGATTCCATAAAAACAAAGAACACCTGACAGGAAGAAACTAGTCAGGTGATTTGAAGTTCCACAGGAGGAAAGGGTGTCCTGGGCCTCTCGGGCTCACCGCTGAGCCCCATACAGGTGACACAGGATCTGGTCCTGGTCTGTGCATTAATGCAAGGCAGGGGAAGCCATTCCTTATCTAGACCAGATACTGGCATGCGTGAGCCTGCAGGATGAAGGAAGAGTATGACAAAGTAGGGCACAACTTGGGGCACAAGGATGCTCCAGGCAACCAGGGGAGACTATTCTCTAAGCTCAGCTGTTCTTGGAAATGCAACATTCTGGTGTCTGGTGTCAGGTTAGAGGTGTCGCACCAAAAAGAGAAGAGTCAGACAGTCTCCAGGTCACACCTGATTCAATAGAGCATTGGATCTCAAAATTCCAGGGCATCCGGTGGCCCATGTACATCATGCCCATGGTTTACCGTGACCCAGAAATCAGAGCTGGACAAGGAGACTTGGGAATATGATCCTCTGGTAATAATTAGGTTTCCGCCTCTTTCACTGACCACACCCAAGCTCATATCTCAGTTGCAGAATAAAGCTGGTACCATAGAGTTCATGTCTGGCTTGCTAGTACCGTTCTACGTTAATGTGGTTTGTTAATAAATGCAAACCATCTGTTTCTAGTTATTCTACTCCCTCAACTGGCTTATTTTGTCTAGAAGGCTGTCATTCTTCATTGCAATGCTTTATGGGGGTCCCAAATCGTGGCTCTGCTCACTTTTTATTCACTTCGGCTTCATAGCTTCAGGTGGATCACAGATACATACAAACCAGTTGTTACCTTTGAAACCAACACCTTCACCGATCTTTTCTTCCCCATTCAGGGCACACACCTGCTTCAACCGATTGGATCTTCCACCTTATCCCTCGTACTCCATGTTGTATGAAAAGCTGCTAACAGCAGTAGAAGAAACCAGCACCTTTGGACTTGAATGAGGACATGGAAACTCACCTGACATTTTCCTGGCAGTCACATCACCCTTTCTGGGATGATCCCCTTGCCCTTTCCCTGAACCAACTCTCCTTTGATTTTGGTATTTCATGATTTTTATTTTCAAACCAAATCAGGATTGACAAAAGCTGTGCATGAAGAACTGCCTTCTTCTGAGATCCAACCTTCAGGCTTATCTCCTCTATTCTCGATGAACTGCTAGCCTGTATGCAATATTAAACAACAGCTGTCTCAAGGTCTGTGTGTATCTCCACATACCTCCATTACTAACAATGAAATAGGAATGCAAGTTATGCTACACTTGACCAAATGGTAATAAAAGTTTACTTCCATTTATATAAATGTAGGGAAATTTGAGCATTAAGCATTCCGAGCTTTTATACGCCCATGTCTTCTGAGTAGAGCCACCATTTTTTATAATTTCTAATAACCAACTCCAGGTCTAGGAGCCAATCAACAATTTCTTTTCCTCCCACTCTCCTTTTCCCCATGCATACCATCCATCCAAAAACAGCAGTGGCAAAGCTGAAATTTTTATACATTCAACTCATGATTCATATATGGCATCAGTCCCATCAGCTGGAACTAACCTAGATATATGGTGCAAATATTACATTTTCCAACAAATAACAACAGCAAGAAAAATGCCTCCTGCTGATGCAATGCAGTGCATCTCAATGGTTATGGGGATTGTGGCTCAACCTGAGTGTAGAGAGGTCTAGGAGGGGCACGCACCCCGTGAACACTCACCACACAAGAAGCAGAAACTTGTGCACACGAAGGAGATCTTATTACGTAGCATAAAGGATGAGGCTTCTACCCCCATGGTGTTGTGTAGAATGTGATGAAGCAAACAGGAGAGAGGGAAGAAGACCATATTAGGTTGGTTTGAATACCTGAGTTCTGTACTGTTTTGTTTTGCTTTGCTTTGTCCTGTCTAGCTACAGTTCTTCTCAAAGGAAAAAAAAAAATCTTATGAGATAAACTCCTAACTTCTTTGTTAAAGATAATTGGCAAATGGACTTCTGTTTTAACTTTGATATTGTTTTTTTATGCTACTTTTTTCCTTTTCTTTTCTTTATTGTGGTGTTCAAATTCCTTCACATCTGATTGTCCACAGGGACACACTACATGAGAAGCTGCAGAGAGTGATGGTGCTTGTTCGGGGTCAAGGGCAATATAATACTCCTTCTTCATCCATAACAATTCTCCTGGAGCAGACACCTAACACCCCAAAGGCACATTGATTTGTCAAAATAGATATCCAGTTTCTTTTAGCACTCAGTAAAAGAGAGATCTCAGAAAACTTAGTGCTTTCAGAAAAACGGTTGCAGGCTCCAAAGACAGCCGAACCTCTTGATTACATTTGGAATAAGCCCAAACATAATGGTCATTTCTATTTTTCTAACCTTGTTATCCATGTGGTCTGAAATATGTCATATGTGAAAGTGTTTTTCTTCACTGGGAAAAGAAGAATTAAAGGGGCCCCCGTTATTGAAATGTCACCTTGTTGTTTCCAATATATTAAACAAGGGACAAATGTGAGAAATGTAAGATAAAGTGAATTTCACAGGAAGCCATGCCTTGTGCTCATTGTCTCAGTTTGTGTCCAGGCAGTGCATTGTGTTTCGTGTGCTCCAAAATGAAACTTCTTTCAGCAGGAATATTTAGTATGCCCAGCACCCCTTGCTGCTGTGTTTCTATTGCCAATCAGGAAATAACACGTTACCGAAATTTAGCTTTCTGTTGCTGTCTAAAAAGAATATTTTCCAAGATAGGATGGAATGTGCATATTACATAATATAAATTTGAAGGATCTGTAAAATTCAGTATACATGTCAAGTATCTGAAAAGTTATGGATTCCAATGGAGCTATTATTTATACAAACCAGAGCATAAGAATTATGCAAATAATTTCACCATTTTACCTCTTTGAACAGCACCTCTAGTATAGGGAACATCTTTTGTTTTTAGAACTTGGTGTTACGCGTGTGTATGACTCATTAATTCAAGCACTTGATTCTTTTTTAGTACTTATCTTCTTCGTTAAGCATTGGCAACAGAGGAAGATGTTTAAAAGATGGAACCTGCTCCTGGGGAGCTTTACATTGTACATAAATATCTACTTAACACCTTACTTAGATTATTTGATATCTATTCTACTCATACATGGAAGGAACAAGGTACCCTAGAAAATATATAGAGATGAGATATCTTGGGCATAAATGGTTTTCCAACTAAGTTTTCCTTCTTTCCATTCCCCACCTCCCACCCCAATGCCCTGGCGCTAAACATATCCCACAAAACATTGTACAATCAGTATTTGGTAAAAGCATACAATTCCAAAAGGAAATGCTGACGTCAAAGTCAGCTGAAAGAATGCAAAGTTTGCTTGACAGGGTCCCGGATTCTATTACAGCCTTGTACAGAATCCCAAGTGAAGACAAACAGAGAGGAAAGGCGTACAGAGAGTTGTTATGGAAAGATCCTATGATTTCCAAGTGATGTTTCTTTAGCTATTATTCCCTAATATATGAGGCTGGAATACATGAAAATTGTATGTGTGTGTTTGCATGTATATTATATATATATATATATAATTATGCTCGTAATTCCACCAGCTGGAGGTGTAAGCCTCCCCCAATCATATGACAGTATGAGCAAGACAGATCTGTTTGTTACCACTAGTAATTTTTTTTTTAATTTAAAAGTGTGAGTTTTCTCCATGGAGGCATATTATAATACTGATCACTTATAAACCACAATTCCCCTAAAACCAAACTTTTATAGAAATAGTTTTGGTAAGAGTCTATTACCTTTAATTGGGAGAACAAACAAAAAATAAGAGAAACCTTACATTTCAAGTAGAAAAATACTTTTAAAATGCTATGAAGTGTTATAATAATTTCATGGATATGACATCTTATTCTATTATATGAAGATGATAATCCTAAAAATAGAAATTGCCTCTACTGGGTCAGGAGTTCTCTGTAACCTCCTGTGTATATAAGTTGGCAGCAGTTGTGAGAACTTTTTACTACCACCACCAATGCAGCACACTTGCTTGGAGGGCAATGAGGAAATTAAAAAGAGATAAGTGATCCCTTGGCAGGCTTCTAAATCTTTTTCTCTTTTAATTCATGACCATATGTCCATTAGCGGTGAGTATATTTGCGTGCGAGTCGATAAGCCAGACCTTCTATCTGATATTTGACAAATATCTGTGATATTTGTCAGTCCATGTGTCAAACCATGTGTCCAAAATTTGGGTTCAAAAAATTTCTCAATTGCCACAAATGTTTTCCCAGTCAAGATGAAACACTTTCAAATGAAAGTAGTTAGAACTTTACATAACAAATGTGGTGCTTTATTATTATTATTATTATTATTATTATTATTATGTACTTCAGTGTTCATTATTAAAACTACTGCAATACTATATCATAAAAATCGGGGATGGATGTTCTAGCCATCATAAGGTCCAAAAGAAAAAAATGTTATTTTCCTGTTAGTGACATGTAGTCCCTTTGTTCTAGTAGAAAAAAAAGGTGCCTAGAGGTAGTATATAGAGTAAATATTGTTCCATTAGCCTACTTCCTGCAGCTTCCAATTTATCTAAGGAAATGTCTATAACAATTTTGTTAAACGTCTTTGTTCTAGTCAATAGCAGGAGAAGTCCACATTACTGGGCTGATTTTGCTTACATCAACAAGAAAAATGTCACGTGATACTCAGGCCGAGCTTTCTCTTCCATCATACCACCTTCAAGGAATGTCAATAAACTCACTTTGGTATGGCATTGTGTGTGCTCTTTATTGCAAACAGAAGTCTAGGGTAATACATAACAATTATGCCTGGGCTCTCACCGGATGTAGGCAATGAAACAACACAGAAGGCTACTAGCTGCTATGATAAATAATCCCTGGGAAGATTATTTATCAAAAAAGCATAGCATGTGTTCACAAATCCATGAATAAAGGAACAGCGTTTGTAACAAGTTACTTGGGTATCCTTTTAGGACTGCACACAAGCCACGTGGGCTTTGTTTGTGAGCGTCCTTTATGTTGAACCAGGCATACACTGGCTTATTGAATTCCTACCTGTTGAGATGCTTCTACAAAGACTCCAGGCTACAGCCAAACACCCGGTGTGACCCTAGGAAAAGGGTTAGCACTAGGCAAAAATGTGTCCAATGGCACATATCAGAACTTCAACATCACAATGGTCTTGGGAGCCTCTAAAAGATGAATTGTGTGGCTGTCACTGGGCAGTCAGCTGATTTATTCCTTGAGGAAAAAAAAAACCTTATTATTAGAGAATGTGAATAGGACTGAGAGAAGGAAAAACCCGAGAAGTCTCCATATTGCACTTACATCCATACTAAGTTTACTTTAGACTCATTCTTACTGAAAATGATTTTTCTTTTAAGGCATAAGAAAAAAAATTAGCCTAAGCTGTAATTTTCAGATAGTAGATGATAATATTTTATATTTTTATCTGATCATTAATCTGAAATCAAGATTAGATTTCAGATCTCCTGATTTTTATGGCCATGTTTTTCCAATACGCTGTGCTGACAACTGTTTAAAAAAAAAAAAAAGGAAAGAAAAAGGAAAAAGGCACATATAGTCCAGATGCAGTTTAAGTATGTTTATAAAGGATGGTTCTCTAACAGAATAAATAAGAGAGTTATGGAAGGTCAGGCTAAACTTTATCGCTGCTGCAGGAATCATCACATTTTTAGCTGGGGAGAAACACTTAGACACTTTTGTCTGACTAGTTTTATCTTGGAGATAAAGAATCTGAGAGCAGGATAGATGATTTTCTCAAGGCCACTCAGGTTTATCTTGAGAGCTAAAGGTATGCCGGGTCACAAAATATCCCTTGAGGTCTTGAGCTCCTGGACCTGCTGTAACCTTAAGAAATTAGCCAAGAGGGGGAGAGATGGAAGCGGAGATCTAGCTGGCATGCCATAGGGGATGCCAGGAATCCAGTCAATTGCCTAGAGCTATAGCCCCTCTGTATGAGTTCTCTGGGGCTGCTGGAACAAAGGACCACAAACAAGTGGCTTAACCAAGTCTAAAAGTCTAACATCAAGGTGACGGTGGGGTTGATTCCCTCTGAGAGAGAAACTGTTCCATCCCTCTCTCCTAGCTTCCAGGGATTTACTGGGAATCTTTGGCCTTCCTTGACTTAGAGACCTCAGTCTCCATCATCATGTGATATTCTGTGTGTGTGTGTGTGTGTGTCCAAATTTCCCCTTTTTATAAGAGAACAGTCATATTGGGTTAGGTCCTACCCTATGACCTCATTTTAGCTTGATTACCTCTGTAAAGACCCTAACTTCAAATAAAGTCATATTTGCAGGTACTGGGTATTAGGAGTCCAGCATATTTTGTTGGGGGGACACAATCGAAATCATAACTATCCTCCTTCCTGCCATATTAATAGTTGTCATCATGGGATGAGCACTGGGTGTTATTCTGTAAGTTGGCAAATTGAACACGAATAAAAAATAAATTTATTATAAAAAAATAGTTGTCATCAGCCCCAACAGTAATAGTAATAATAACAAAAGCTGACTTACATTTAGAGCCACACTGTTCACCCGGGTCTTTAATTGCTCTAGTAATAATCACAGAAGGAATAAAAACATTGCCTATAAGTTTATTGCTTTTTAAAATAGTTTAGTAAATCAATAATTACTATTGTGCTATCTATTTAATCAATGGATTAATGAAGATAACTGTGATCACAATAAATTTTTTCACTACTTAAGAAAAACTAATTTGCACTTTTCATGTATCACCCTATCAAATAACTTATATCCCTATCTTAAAAAACCCTGAAACATGGAGAAGTTAATCAATTTGCCCAAAGTAAATGATATGGCCAAGATTTGAACAAGAAGCTGGGCCCCAGAGCCCAAACAGTCGACCACCACCACACACTATCTTCCCTCAATTAACCATTTATTGAGCACTTATTATATGCTGGGTCTTGTGCTGGGTACAGGGGGGGAAAGTGGCAGTCTTTGCCTCAGGGAATTCATGGTCTAGAAATACACAATTCATTCTTCTGCTTCATGTGAGATGTGGCCCCTGTTTTGTTTTTCTTTTTTAAAATTTTAATTTATTCATTTGAGAGAAAGAGTGCATGCGCACAAATAGGACAGCAGACACAGGGAGAGGGAGAAGAAGGATCCCCCATGAGCAGAGATCCTGATGCTGGGCTAGATCCCAGGAAGCAAACACTTAACTCACTGAGCCACTCAGGCACCCCTGGCTCCTGTTTTTGATATGAATAGTCCCTCTTGCAACCCTGCCCCAGCTCCTGAGTTAGATATGATGTCATTTTAAACATAATAATAAATAGGCAAAATGATATAGGAAAAAGAAAACAGGAGCCATTGGCTCCATTGAAGAGGAAACACAGACAGGAATGAAATAGTCAATAGAGAAGGGACAAGAAGTGACTGAATCAGCCTAAGAACCTTCATATCTTGAAGACCTGGGAGATGACAACTACGAAGAGATTTAATGTCCAGAAACTCTGAGTGAGTTAGTGTTAAAACTTGCCAAAATTAATCATCTTATATATGCCCGAGAATTTGTATTTCTTTACATCTTATTCCAATGAGTTTATCTTATAGTTTTTTTCCTTTATAATTATGTAATCCCTATTATTTTTTAAATGTAATAAAAATTGGTTCATATCCAAACTTTTATATCTGTCCTTTCTAAAAAGAGCTGTTCTTCTTTTAAGATTATCTTAGTAGGAAAAATTAAATAATAATCTTCTAATATTGTGACAGTTGCATTAAATGGCCTCCATTCTTCATCCCTCCCTATAGCCATACCCAGTTATGTCCCACTGGGAGCCTAGGCCAGAGGCGTGTAAATTCCTTGCACAATTGAGCTTGATCTCTCTCTCCAGAATCTCTACTGTCATGGAAATAGAGGTGTAAGAAGAGGATAAACGCATGGGGAGCAGTGGTGAGACTGGGCTAAATCAATCTATGGCCAGATGACCCCCAGATACTTGAGTAAACATGGCCAAGATTATGAAAGCCACCTAAGCCAAATTCCAGCTGACCCCAGAAATGTGAAATAAAGGTTTATAGTTACATGCCAGTGATATTTTGTGATGGTTATACATCATTGTTGTGGCAGTGGATAAGAACTTCAAAGACCAGTGGGCATCTTTCCGTTCTGGAATTAATTTTTGAAACCAAGCACTGAAAGTTTAGTTTAATGGTATGAATGTACCCATTATGCATGGTAGCCATTGTTTAAATTAATAATGATACTGAAAACAGAAGGGAAATGGGCATATCTGCATGAGCTCATCAACAAAAAATTATAAAATACATGAGGAACTCCACTGCCAGGAAAGAGTATTCACAGATAGAATAAACAGGAAGAACTTAAAATATACTGCCATCTAAAAGAGGTATAAAATAAATACCTTGAAATGTTCGAATACACAAGGAAATAATAGAATACATAAATTAGAAACAGGAGATTACAAACCTAGAAAGGCAGCCTTGAAAAGGACAATACTGTGCTTTTTTCCTTTTCTTTTCTGGAATAAGCCATTTGAATTCGTCAAGTATTTAACTTGTATGAAAATGTGTAGCAGCTCACAGCACTTGAAAGATGTGGCTTCTAAAATAAGTGAATCTATATTTTTCATATATATGTATTTATAAAATGTACTTTTATCAGAACTACATGATAAAACAAATATAGCTCTGTTACTTTTTATTTTATAAATTCAAGTTCAGGTTGACATAAGAATGCACAAATGCTGAACTTCTACCCTAAGAAAGCTGAACTTCAACTTTCAAAAAGTAGACTTTGTAGATATTTAATAAATGTTTTTTAAATTTGTTTTTGCCATAGTAAATATAATTTGTTTCACTGCCATAGCAACACACACATATACGTAAATATGATTTGGGTTTTTAATTATTGTTATCAATTTGTGTAATTTATAAATCAAAATTCCTTGAATTTATAGTTTAGTAAGTTTCATTTATTCTGAGACTAGGTATTATGTGTATATAAGTTCATGATTTTTAGGTCTCCTTGGTGGCTTGTTTCTTTTACAAATATGTCATTACATACCTTCTTAGTTCCCATCAATATTCACCTAAAATTCTACTCTCTTGGCTATTAACAGTTATTAAGAGTTCTATGAAGATCTACATTCAACTACTGTGTAGATACTCATAAGATCCTACACCCAACACACAGGGAATATGCATTCTTCCCAAGCACATGAGACATAAAAAAAAAAAAAGAAAGAAGAAAAAAAGAAAGAAAGAAAGAAAGAAAGAAAGAAAGAAAGAAAGAAAGAAAGAAAGAAAAAGACTACAATGTCTCAAAAAACACCAAAGAAATGATAGCCACAACCTTAACTGACCACAATGCAATATAATTAAAAGCCAATACTTAAAAAAAAAAATCTACTTAAAAAAACTATTTACCACAGGATAAGAACAAGACATGAGTTTTTCCTAACTCATGGAAGCAGCTAAAACAACTCTTACACTCACATATTCAACTGGCCAATGAACATCTCTCTCTATTCAGTGGGCTAATAAAGCTGTCATACTTTTTTCAATCAGGGTTTTGATCAGGAAAGTATAGCCACTCTGATCCAGAATAAGGAATTTACTATAAAGATAGACCTTACACAGTTGTGGGAGCTGGTGAATAAATCGACGGGAGCTTTGCAGCTGATGGTTGCTCTGAATCAAGAAAAAAAGCCAGTTATAAAGCAGGAATGAGCTAGATAAGGCACTAAGATACACTGAAACTCATGAGAACAAACTAGAAGCCTCCTCAGGTTGGTGACCTTCCAAAAGCAATGGTTCCTTCATCATGGAACTGCATACATTTCTGACCCAAGACTTAGAGAAACTGCAGAAAGATCCTTCTCCCAAACTCTTCATCTAATCTGCCACCAATTCCTGTTGGACCTAGCTTAAAAGAATTCCACTGTTTTTCATCAATCCCATTGCCATGTCCCTAGTCTGAGCCACAATTTCACATCTGTATGATTGTCAAGCCAGCCTTCTTGCATCTAGTTCACAACACTATGGTCTGTCCTCCACACTGTAGCCAAATAATCATTTAAAACATGTGTTAATCATGTCACCCTTCAGTTTAAATTCTCTCATAAGTTTCTACATCCCTCCATGATTTGCTACTAGTTACCTCGCTTATCTCTCACCTCTCTCTCCTAGTCACACACCCCAAACACATTTTCACCTGAAAGT